ACCCAGGCCTCACGTGCTCGACTGGAATCTCCGTGCCTTGAGGAATCGTAGCGGTTTAGGGGTTTAGGGTTTAGGGTTTAGGGTTTAGGGTTTAGGGTTTAGGGTTCAGGGTTTCGGGTTTAGGGGTCTTCTCTTAGCGTTCAGAATACAGTATAAGGTCCTTCCAACGCTACATATATATAAATATATGGAGCAATCCGGCTTAACAGTTGTTCTATAGTCGCAGATGATATACAAGACTTTCTATGGCCCTTGTCTGCAGCTCACTGTATTGGTAATTCTTTAGGCCCCTATACTATCCGCCCCTGAAAATCTAAACCCTTCATTAAACAACAACAAAGGCTTGCACACTTCTCAAAACCCTAAAAACACACTTCGAAAACAAAAACCGCAAATCAACACCAAAAAGCCTTAACCTGGTAAGACACCCCCTAAACCCTAAACCTTAAACCCTAAACCTTACAGGAACCCTTGAAGAAACTCCCCAAGGAAGCCTTAGAAGGCCCCAGGAAAAAACTTCGGCTGCGCGGCTTGGCGCAGGCGGATGCCAGTCCGGAGAAGGCGAACTGATCCGGCTCAAACCGTCGCATCCTCGGGCTAAAGGCTTAGAGTTTAGGGTTTAGGGTTTAGGGTCTAGGGTTTAGGGTTTAAGGTATAGGTTTAAGATTAAGGGTTTAGGGTCTGGGGTCTACGGTTTACGGTTTAGGATCTAGGGTCTAGAGTTTAGGGTCTAGCGTTTAGGGTCTAGGCCTAGGGTTTAGGATTTAGGGTTTAGGGTTTAGGGTTTTAGGGCTTAGGGCCTTAGGGTTTAGTAAAGTGAGGGCTCTTTACTATATTACAGGCGAAATTATGTTTTTTTTTTATTAAGCTCATCACTATACATTAAAGTACATTAAGTATGTCAAACTGTGCTGTGCTTTGCTCTTTGAAGAAACGCTCTAAGGACTCTAGGATTTATTGGTTTAGGGCTTACACTTCAGGGGATTAACGGGTCTAGGAGGTTTATGGCTTATAGATGCGTATAGGGTTCATAAGGGAGCTAAGTACTCAGATTCATGGAGCCAAGCGATAGGTTCATGCCTTGAAGGGCTTTTTAAAGGCGGTGTAAACTACAAACCCACAACCCTGCCAAAGTAAAACCTGCAAAAACCCTAAACCCTAAACCCTGAACCCTAAACCCTAAACCCTACCGAAGTAAAACCTGCAGATTCTTCAAACAAGCCAATTGGAACAAAGCCTCCCCAAAAGGCTAAACCCTAAACCCTAAACCGAAAAGGCTGTAAGGCTGCAGACCGCGCTCGGAACGTAACTTCAACTGGCTTAAGGCAACTACTGTTGATGGATAAATTTCTGTATGACCCAAGTATAGTAGAGTACCAGAAATCCCATAGTTTAGGTATATAAGCTCATGCAGGATTGTGTCCATCAGCCGTCTGACAAGGAGCGCCTCTAGAGGCGGTACATAGAAAAGCGATGCTGGAACTCGAAAGCCTAGACGATACACTGGGCATTGATTCAGGAACTGCGCCGAATTCTCAGGGCGTCGTAAGGTGCTGCTGTTGATCATGATGAGAGCAAGCACACCAGCAGTAATCGCAGCGATCATAAGGCACGAAGCGTAACCAGCCCCACAAATGCTAATTATGCCATGCATGTTGTTCTCCCGTCTCCTTAAGCTGAACTTTCCTCAACCCTAAACCTTCTACATTAAACCCTCTACTTCCCATTATAGAAACCCTTTTTGTTACCGTTCTGGAACCCCTGAAGGAAGCCTAAGCCACATTTCTGCTTCTTCGCCAAGGCACTGCATCTCTGCTACGAGGCCTCGGGGCGAGAGCTGTTGAACATACCCATGGGGTTTAGGGTTTAGGGTGCTGCCAGGGTGGTTCTTCGAGATATTTTGGTTTGGGTCTCAGTTGCTTGAAATAATACTTTTTATATCTTTTTCAAGCAGCCCATGCATTGTATGCTGTCTTGCACGCCCAGCGAGCGAACAAATTCTAGAAAAGGTGGTGACTGACGCAACGATTTACCGGCCTGTACATACTATAACCAAAATGGGGACTGTAAGGGAACAACATCACCAGATCTCCCGGCCTATATTGTGTAATTACAGCATGGGACTATCAGGGAATGCTGTTACACAGTCTTCCGTCCCCTATCTCGCGATCTGCTCAGATTTCCCCCTCCCTAGAAAATCCACTAGGTTCTTGGGGCTAGGGTCTAGGGTTTAGGGTATAGAACCCATTAGGGTTTTGCGGCTAGGGTGTCGAGTTTAAAGGGGTTGTGCTACTGCTAATTTGGCAGTGGATAGGAGCATGAGGTAATATAAGAGCTACTTGTTCCGAAACCTTGAGCCTGAGACTACTTGGAGGCCCAGGGGACTTAGTAAGTCGGTTATAAGTAGCGTTATAATTGGGGTAACTCCATTTAGGGTACTTATAACTCTACTTATAACCTAATTACTAAGTCCCCTGGGCCTCCAAGTACAGGACCCTGACGCCATATGGGTAGCTGTCAAAATTAGGGTCCCTTTTGGGGGTACCCTAAATAATAGGTGCCGTATTATAATAATGACCCAAAAAGGGACCATAATTTTGACAACCACCCATATAACACCCCAAAGTCCTGAACCCAACCACCCTAGAGCCCTAAAGCCACACAGGCAAACCACTCGAGATAACCCCGAGGATTCCAAACGATGGAAACCCAACACCTGCAAGTCAGAAAATGCAAACAATGATCGGAAATCTCATCCCTCAGAACCTGAAGATGCTGTGAATCCAGCAACTCACAACAAGGATCAAAGCCAAAACACACATTAAACCACAAACCTTGAACCTAAACACACTCTTGGGCCACTGAGAACCCCTGCTTTCCGCAAGCTCTACGTCACCGGCTTTGGCGCACGCGCTGATGACCTTGGCTTCCGTGCAAGGCCTTAGGGCAGCTAAGGGGGGGGGGGCTCTGAAGCGATCTAGGGTTTGGGGGTTAGGGTTAAAGGTTTTAGGGTTCAGGGGTTTGGGGTTTAGGGTTAAGGTTTAGGGTTGTAGGTTGGGGGTTAATGTAGGGGCCTTCATAATTAGAATAGGGTTTTGGGGGGTTCCTTCTGAGGTCCGATCTCTTGTCTGGCCATCCTTGTGTTCTGGTTCGTTGCTCTCTTCACTCCCACTGTAGAGACGCTAACACTATTTTCACGTTCAACAACTTCACCACCCCCCGCACATGCAGGTTGCTGAAGAAGCTCTTGAGGTGAATAGTTGATCATGGCATGTCGCTTGCCATGTTGTTCAAGCGTCTGTGAGAAGGGCGTTGGTCTCAAGTTGAGTACCAGCATCGAACATCTTGCTGAGTCTCAAGCCAATGGAACTTCCAAGGGGGGTTTCGGGTTTACGGTTTGGCGCCCAAGTACTTTGCATGGAGCCCTTGTGGTCACTAGTAGAGGGTATTCTACACCGTGCCCCTGAAGAAGGTCCGACAGTAGGTAGCTGTTGTGACGCTGACGGACATGCTAGTAACTTGTGTACTAGACGAAACCGCTATACAAATGCGCAGGAAGCACCAAAAAACTACTGCAGCCACAAAGACTGGAGAGAAAACACCATCTGACAGCGGCGGTCGTCGCCCGAGAGAGTGGGGGAGGAGACTGCGAGGCACATTTCAGTGGTGATCCCCACGCTGCGAGCGTGACACAAGTACGTCTCAGAGTAACGAAGACTGCCAGTAGTCACGGCCAGCACAGCATTCGAGAGTCATGGCTGGAGCCGTTACAGGCCCGGCAGGGCGGGCTGTGCTACATCCCTCTGCCCGACACGTCGAAGCACCATGCGAGCATGGGTAGTTGGGTGGTCTAGGACCAAACCCAAACGTCGGACATAAAATTCGAAGCACCAAGACTGAAAAGCTCTGAACCTAAACCGCAACCTACTAATTAAACCGATATCCCTCCCTGGGGATCCAAAAAATCTTTTTGGGGGCTACACCCCATAAAAATAAGGAGTCATAACCTACTATGTTGGTTGGTTTCGGGATAAAGCCCTAAACCCTAAACCC